GAGACATTATGTCTGAATAAATACAACTTTAGTCTAACTCCTCGTTATGGGTCTAACGATCAGCACGATCAGGTTGTAACAATTTGAATGATGACACGTAGATATTTACAAATTGTTAAAGAATGGATAAACCCGTAAAATGTATCACAACTATAAAAGTTGATCAAATGGTCTTGCCGATTTAATACATTGCAACTTACCAAGATTTATAAGTTGCAATTCACGGCATTACTGCTTGCATGGTAAGTTTACAAACGCAGACTCATATAGATTAAAAAATATGTTTATTCTTCATTTGACTTTATTACATTAAAACACAAACGTTAAACAGAGGTAAACGCGTTATTATTAAAATCTGCTCAAAAACAAAATTGTTTTAACCCTCAAATGTGAAACAACTAAAATGTACACACGCTTCAAATGGTCAGGCTTGCATATCTGAAGTTGATAAAAAGTCACTTGACTACCAATAACAAGTTATTCTCCAGTCAGAAACTAGGGGCGGGTTTACGTTCCCTAATTATATGCAACTATAATTTTATATTACAGGGAAAGACTGAATCTACACAGATATTTATAATCACAGCTAGTTTTGGAGAAAAGTACTTGAAGTCCAAGTAGCATATTTCCAAGGTCACATACTGAATCTGCGTGTTTGTTATACAAGACACGCTATGTGCAGACTTGTGACGTCATTAACATTGAAAAAGCTAGTGTGCTACCTACAAAATATTTTCTATATTAATAGCGTTACTCATGAACCTATTTCGTCTAGCTATCAACAAGTCGCTTTTATATGTAATAATCACGTCATCTAACAAGAATCTACAACATATTGTGACGTACAACTACGTTAGATTTGACAAGTAACGTAATCAAGTATACAAAATTTATTACCTGTAACAAAATTTACATTTCTTTTATTCGTATTTCTAAATTTAAAATGGTCGAACTTATTAAAATATGTGCATGTAAATCTTTTCTTACAATATACTTTACATTCAAAACTATCTATGTTGTCCTATAAGTTGTAGTAGTGAATCAAGAAAAGTTAATATTTTCTACTAACTGCTATTACCTCGCGCGAATCTGATGTGGCATTCATGCACATGCCACAAGCCTTGAACAAACTCTAACCCCTACACGTTTAAGTATATTGCGCCAGCCTATGACGTAATCGTCATAAGACTAACTCTCCACCAATAGCAGGGTAAACAATCTCCATGCTCAGGAATCTTCGTGAGAATTGGCATACGATCATACAGCTTATTTTTAATAAAGAAGACAGTATGCTGCGAAAGTAGGGAGGAAGGGTGACAGGTGGCACAGAGAGGTAAGTATATATGTGAAATAAATTTTAATGTAGGGAAAATGTTAACTTCAGAAACGTTACTTACCTCTCTACACCACTAAGAACAATAGACTCATACTAAAGATGGTGTAGGGGGCCAGTGCTTAACAATTACACGATTCTTTCTGAAACAAACACAATGGGAAAGCCGATGTGTTGTGACTTCCATAAGATCTGGGGTCTCCTAATGGAGGAGCACCTGGTGGATGGGCTGTTCTGTCGTGGTTAAACATTTACATGAGATAGATACTATAATGACAGTTGGAGGGAGTAGGGGCCCTCACCTGTGTCCCAAGGCAAGTCCAAGTCCCATCCAGCTGGACATATACACCAGGAAATGATTGAGAGAGACTATGATGAGGTGTCCTATACTGCACTTCCAGGTAACACCCCCGCCCTACATTTCAAATGAGGGGGTGGGCCTAATCACTCTCATACTGGAGGGGGAGCCTTCACTCACAGAGAAAACTCTCCATATTAAATCTCTACAAGAACAGTGGGGGGGGGGGGAGAAAACACAGGAGTGTGTGTTGACCACTGTCATCAGGTACAATCACCTGGAATTGGTCCCTACTGATAGACAGTGCAATGGGTTTATAACTAAAGGCAGCGCGAGCCACGTATAAAGGCAGGACTATAACTGATGCCAAGTTATAGATATATTACCAAAGCAGAAATTATAAACCCAAGGTGCTTAAGGATTCATCAAACCTAAAAAAAACAAAAAACAAATGTCTCCTGGCGGGGAATTGAGCCCCAGTCTCCTCATAATAGGCATGGATACTTACCACAATACTATTATGTATTTTAAGCTCTCCTTCAAAGGCTGGCAATAAGAGGAAGCAAGAGAAGATGTGACATGCCAAAACTGATGGTAGGAGATGCACGATAAAGCATATGGTCGAACTTACCAAAGAAAAATATGCAAGATGGGTGAGTTGGTGAACCTAACCAGTTAAAGCAGAAGAGGACAAATCTCAAAAGGTGGAGGTTTACTACAGCAGTTTCTATGAAAAGGGGTAGTCTAAACAAGACAGTCGAGATCGGATGGATAATAAAATGATGTAATACAGGGAAAAGACACAAGAAAAAACATCAGATCAACCTCCTGGACAAGTCTTTGGAAGAGACAAGGACTGGAAACATCAACCTGTCTCTATGATAGAGGGTGCACGAGGCGTCTAAGGCATAAATATCTGAATAATGAAAACCACAAGCAAGGAAAACGAGAAAATATGTCTTGAGAAACAACTGATACAGGGAACAGGGGGTTGATGGTTTGGTGGGGGTAAATAAGAGTGTAAAAAACTGTAAAAAAAGGCCAAGCAGGGGAGAGAGACCTGATTTCGGGGGGGGGGAGCAAAAGAAGGGATTATTACATGGAAAAAGACAAAAAGATGTGGACAAATCCACATGGTAGCCTGCATTCGGTAAAACAGACAGGATCTAGATGAAAAGTCAAAAAAGGAGTTTGGTTTGAATTTCAAGCAAAGCTACACGTGGGCTATCTGAGCTAGCCATCCCTAATTTAGCAGTGAAAGACTAGAGGAAAGGCAATTAATCATCACTACCCACCACCAACTCTTGGGATACTCTTATCAACGAACAGTAGGATTGACCATCACATTGTAATGCCCCCACAGCTGAAAGGGCGAGCACGTTTGGTGGTATGGGGAGTCGAACCCGTGACCCTCCAATTGCAAGGCAAGCACCCTAACCAACTGGCCATGCCAGGACACATCAAATAACAAAGGAAAACAGATGTTGAAGGGTAAAATGACCTGTCTGAAGGACCAGTGGTGGTAGACAGCCATTGTACCTTGATATAGAGTGAGAGTAGAAAGCTAACAAGTGTGAAAAAAAACAGGCTACTTCATGGGAAACTCTCGTATATCATTCAAGGGATTGGATTAATCCCATATGTGAAGACAAAGGCACAACACCAAGTTATGAAAAATAGAAGACCAAGTTGAATGAGGAGATACCTCCAAAGTGGGAGTTACAAAAGCATCAATCTGGGGGATTCTGAATTTGGAACAAATCTAATGGAAGACTGAAAGATGTAGGGACCACTCTGTGGGATTCATCCCATCAAGGTGAGAGAAGTGATCTGCCACCAAATACAAATCCTAGAGACATGACAGAAAGTGAATATGATGAGTGTACACCCAAGAAAGGAAGTCCAAAGTTAAAAAGCACAGGTCCTTGTGGTTAACTGAAGTACCAACTGTAGAGTTGTCCAAGTGTATCATCTCTAGATAACTAAACAAACATGACAAAAAAAGGCACAAACACAATAAGCTGCAGTCATCTCCAAAAAGTTGATATGCAGAGGATACTCCTCTGGAGACCAGACGCTGGAAAGAGCAGTGGTATTGAAAACTACCTCAAGACAGAAAGAGACATTAGTGAAAAGATGAAAGTTGCATTGAAGGGGGAGTGATATACCATGGGATGGGTTATAGTAATCAATTACCCATGACAGACAGATGTAGAGGGGAAGGTAGAGACACAAGGGCTGATAAGGGAATGACATAATATGTTCCAACGAACTCCCAGATCTCATTGAAGGAGATGCATATGTGCATGACCATTCAGAATCAAGGAACAAGAAAGTGAGTCAGAGACAAGAAGTCAATAACAGGGTAGCAAACCCCTGATTTCATGGTGACAACAAAAATATGGTAATAAAAGCCATGAGTGGGTTGGGAGTCAGGTTGTATAGCACCTGTTGCCAAAAAGAGGACATCACATCCTGAAGATCAAGAAGACAGAGGATCAGTGGGAAGAGAATAAGAAAGAGAGCAATGAGAAAAGAATGGGTGGAGTATGGAAGAGGAGAGAGAAAGAATGTGTAAACTCCTGGGGTTGCTGGAGAAGGAAGAAGACAGAAGGGTAAAGTGGAAGAGGCAGGAATCTATTGGACCAGAGACCAGGATTAGTCCCAAAGAAGTCAATGCCAAGAGTCACAATACCTAATTATATGGGAGCAGAGATGGCAAACAGAACCAAGAGAACAAGGAACAGGTAAGGGGTAGCCCAATGTGACTACTACCAAGGATGGGTAACAGATAAAGATACTGTGGACCAGTGAGTTGAAAATTCAAGGAAACAACAGAAGATTATAGGCGAATAGCTTAAGCCGGGAATTCAAAACAGTCAGGAACACCCCAAAGACCAGGGCTGTAAGCAAATGGGCAAGGTGGAAGTTCCAGATATAAAAGGAAGGTATCTGGACACCCGACTGGGAAGATCACAAAAAACAAAAAAACCTGTTGAAAAAAAAAGACATGAGAGGAAGAAATGGAAACCAAAATGATAAACAAAAATTAGATTCTCCACCAAAACTACTGAGTTCATAACGAAAAGCCTCAGTGTGGAGTTCAAGGGCAGAGTAAAGTAGTAGGGTAAAGACAGACAAAAATGTGCAGATGGCTAGAGAGAAAAACAATGAAGGAGAACGAGGAGCATTCCAAGCAGAAACAAAAGACACAAAAGATTGAGGATGTAGAAATTTAAAAGAACATGACCTGAGGCCATAGCAAAGGAGTCACAAAGATGACTAGGACAAGAAAAATGTGGGGCAATGCAGAGTTCAGACAGAAGGAGACACGTGAGGTAAACCAACTAAAGAGAAGATATCACATACCTGATTCACGACTGTAGCATATAGAAAATGAGGAAGTACCTGTTCCTCATCAGGGAGAGAAGAGCCAGAAAAAAGTCTGATGTGGAAGATCTGGCCAAAATTGTCCAAAGGTGAGGCTGACTCCACAGAAGGCAAAGAAATACATCGACTATAGAATCGACTAGGAGTCTGAACTGGAGAAGCAGGCAGAAGGGAACAAACCACCTAAAGCATGAAAGTGAGAACATCATCAACTGATGTGTTGGTAAACTATGGTTCATCACAGCACAATAAGGTTGAGGAAGCTAAGTTATCCACAATGTTAAGAGCACCTTGCAACAAAATGAAATCTGAAACCTGTCACATGATGCTAAGTGAGCTAAAGGAATACCAGCTGAATATCAGGTCTGTGAATATATAAAGTGCCTCCAGTTACTGTTGAGTTCAGTTGGAGAATTAACCCATTCACTGCAGCTCAGACATATATTTCCCAGTGCACTGGGAACATACATCCCAGCTGCAGTGAAAGAGTTAAAAGCAACACACCAGTGGGAACTGCACTACTTCTGAGCCAGGTATACTCTTTGCCCTTTAGTAATGTTTAGCCCAAACATAAATGGTAAGAACTTGGAGGGTTCCAAAAAATACAGAAATAATGGGACCCCCTGGTGTAGAGTGGCTAGGATGCAACAGACTTCGACTAAAAGTTCAACCTCAACCAACACCTGGCAGCATCTGGAATTGTACCTTTCACCTCAAAAATGGGTACTGGCAGGGAAGAGGAGCTCCCATACCAAGAACCCGTCTCCACATGTGCACACCTCCAACAAAACTAACACCAGATCTACTGGGAACCAACATCCAGCAGATGGTAGGAAGGAGAAGAGCCAAGGTGGGTGTTTTTCTCCGGTCCAATGCCTGGTGCCATTGGGAATTTTGTCTACAAGTCCGTAGTCGGAGGAGGGTACCAGCCAAACACATGTGAAGACTTGTGTGGCTGGACCACCTCGAAACAACATGCGATCCCCAGGAACTTACCTTCAGAAGATGGTAGGAAGGAGGATGTCTCAGCCATGGGGCAAACTGCAATATACATAAGGGAGTGCTACATTCAACACCTGGCAGCATCTGGAATTGTACATCAGAACCATGGTAGTTTGGATGTCACACCACTGAAACCTGCTGAATGCCACTGTCCTACTCTTAAACTGAGTGGTATTGTCCATCACCATAATCCACTAGAAGGAGGAGGGAAATAATGTGTTTGAGAGTCCAGAGGATCGCAGTTCTGGAGACAGTGCAATGATGACCATGATACCCTATATTGAAAAGCAGAGTGATCACGTTGATGAAGTGCATCATCCAACACCTGGTGGTAGGATGAACATCAAGTGCCACAAATCATCAGAGATTGGCAGCAGTCCCTGTCTGCTTTACTCATGTTAGATCATGAGTGTATGGTCTGGGACAAACATATTAATGAAGCAAAAGACCACGAGGTACACCTACGAGCGGTCCAGCTGAACACCCCATCTCAATGGTGGGTGGAAAATGACCTTGTGACGTGTTAGTTTGTCTCTTTTTCTATATTTTATATCGATGCATAGAAGATGTGTTGGACAGAATCGATCAACCAACATTTGGCTGCATCTGGAATGGTACATCAGGTCCACGGTAGGAAGAGTCTCATTGTTACAGTAATCTAACATATTCACAGGTCGTACAGTGCAGATTTAAGACTAAGTATACCTGATCAGGCAACACTCACCACCGAGTGGATCCAAATATGTGATAAAGGCTCCTGCAGAGAAAAAGAAAAATGAACGGAGTACATACCACCACAGATACTCAGTTACTATGTTCCCTACTCCTATTACTCTTATCAATAAATTAATGCTTCAATCAGATCACCTCTAACCCTGCTCCTCTCAACAAAACTATGGAAAATAAGCAAATATCTTTATCCAGATAATTTAGAGTACCATATTAACATGATTATTAATTGTAATGTAATTTGTTTTTTTTTAATAGTTCCTTTTCTGTTACAAATTTGGCTATGTGGCATGTGGGATGATACATCTGGCTACTGAACTCAATGGTTTGGCTACAACATATTTTCTGTCAGTAGCCAATTTAGATGCAGGATTTCAATAGTAAAATCTGAAGCTTGTGTATCAAAGAACAACCTGTTTAAGAAACACTTACTGTAATTTGCTGGATGGCAGAACCAACAGTGCAATTGTTCCCACCATGATTGCCAACCATCCAACGTTTTGCCATTTTATGACTGTCAACTGTGTATTCTATTGAACAAAATTAGGTTGCTAACATTACTGAGTGTGAATGAATGGTTCAAGCAACTTTATAACAAGATTACAAGATTGCTCTTTTGATTTACTGTATTATAAATATGAATTAAAAGGAACATGTTCTGCACCTTGTTTTTCATCAGTTTTATATGTTTGTCTGATATTACACAAAATACATATCTTTGGATTATTTTTTCAAAATTTTGCTGCATTTCCCCCACATTTCTTTCAAGCCTTGGACACAGGCATACCTACCTGTTTTTCAGATTCAAATGTTGACAGGTATAACATAACAAATTTTAAGGACACCAAGGGACACATTATCCATCTAGGCCATTCCTTTTACTACACTAAACTTGAAAAAAAAAAAGCCATCCCTTATCACTCAAATCTTTATCAAGCCTTCCCTAATGAAGATTTCAGCAGTATTCCACATCATGAACAGTTGATAGATGGAAACAAGTTCGAACAAGATGACTGCATTAATTATGAGCTGGTTAAGAAAAAGTTGGGAAGTTTAAAGAATGATAGGCTCCTTGGCCAGATAATATTTCCCCAACAGATTTAAAGGAGGTTAAAGATTGGATATGTGTGACACTTGTTACTATTTTTTTGTCATTCCCTGAATAGTGAGCAGGTACCAGAGGATTGGAAGTTAGCTAATGTAACTCCTTTTTTCAAGAGAGGCAATAAAAATTGTCCCACTAATTATAGACCCATTAGTCTTACATAAGTTGTGGGAAAAGTTTTGGAAAGTTTGATAAAAGATGCTTTCCAAAATCATTTACAAAGTTTAGAATTTTATTGGATAGTCAACATGGTTTCACTATGGAAAGATCTTGCTTTACAAATCTTTTGACATTCTTTGAAAAGGTTACTACTTATGTAGATGGGGTAAGTGTAGATTTGGTGCATCTAACAAGGTGCTACATAAAAGGCTTGTATAAAAATGATCTCTATATGTGTGTGGGGGGGGATAAGTTAGCAAATTGGATAGAAGAGTGGTTGGATGAAAGAAAACAGAGGGTTGTTACAAATGGAGTTCAGTCAAACTCAATTAATGACACAAATGGGGTACCTCAGGGCTCAGTCTTAGGACCTTTGCTCTTTTTGATTTACATCAATGATATAGATGAAAGAATGATCAAGAAATTACTTAAATTTGCAAATGATATTAAGACCTTGGGTATTGCTAGCTGTGAAGAGGATGCTGGTGATTTACAAAAGGATTTAGATCATTTAGTGAGTTGGGCAAATAAATGGCAAATGGGTTTTAATCATAATAAATACAAGATAATGCATGTTAGTTATCATAATTTGAATTATAAGTATAATCTGGATGGGAATAACCTTTACAGTGTCATGAAAGAAAGGGATCTTGGTGTAATAATTGATCAGTCTCTAAAGCCATCCAAGCAGTATGCTGTAGCTAGTGGTAGAGGAAATAAGATTTTAGGTTGTATCTACAGAAATATTGAATACAAGTCTAAAGAGGCTATAATTTCACTGTATCCATTAATTCAATATTGTTTCTAATGTAAAAAGCTCAAAAGTGGATTAATACTCAGATCAGTAGGTCTAATTTTAATAATTTCTTTCAGTTGGTGGATTGTAAATATTTATCTTACTTTTGGTTACTAAAGACATTATATATTAAACTGAAATAAAAAACTTATCCATCCAAAAGTGGTTAAGCAATAGAAAAAAAAAGCTAAAACTGTTTTAGCTCAAACAATAGATGACATCTCATAAACACAGCAAAATAAAGCAACTTGGCAATGATCACATTGCATATTTTATTCTTAGCTAATGATTAGAGTGATCCTTATTTCAGGCTAAAAATTCCAAGGATCTCACCCCCACTTTTTGTTCCAATGTACCAAAAACATTCAATGTCAAATTTCATTTTGGACCATACTTAAGGGTTGCTCAATGAGTTTCAAGTTCTAAATTACAGGGACCTGGTACTTGTGCTATGTGATATAAAAACATATTTGTTATGTATTATAAATTATTTATCTGATGTACATTATTATGTAATTGCATGTATAATAACATAATCATATGATTTTAGTGTAGTTAGTCACTTTTGCATTTTGTTTCCTTTTTGCTGTTAGGAAAGCATCTTCTATGATACTGCACAACCTTTCACCTCCTATACAGTAACTAGTAGGGAAGATGAACCTCCATACCATGCACACATCCAACACAACCATCAACACATCTGCCGGGAACTGACATCTGGGGACAGTAGGAAGGTAGACAGCAAAATGGGGGTGCATCTCCAGTCCATCACCAGGCAGAACTAGGAATGTGTCATCCAGGAAGAGGGTATCCAGTTCCAACCATCACCATATCCACCTGGAACCGACTTCTAGAGAATGGTAGAAAGTAGGATGCCTCAGCTGGATGGAAAAACTACATGTTGGTAGAATTCATCATCCAACACTTGACAGCATCTAGAATTGTACATTAGGTCCACAGTAGAATGAGCATCAATGCCATCTACACTGGCAGAATACCACAGCCATACTTTCAACCGACTAGAATTGGGAATACTCAACAGTGGGTGTATATGATGCACAGGGCTTACAGTGCAGATTCAAGATTAAGTATACATAGATGGGCAACCCTCACCACTGAGTAGGATCCAAAATGCAACAAAGGCCCCTGCAAAGAAAAAACAGAACTTACCCACCTAAAGAGAAATTATGGAGCACAAAATAGCAACAGGAGAAAGATGAAAGCCTAAAAACAAGCAACATCTAGGTAGTGAAGATAAAGAGCTGTAAGGGTATGGAGAGTGGTTCACATACTGGCACGAATGATGTCCTCCAATTGAGAATGGAAATGAGCAACAAGGGACATGGTAAGATCACAGTTGATGGGAAGATGCTTGTAAAAGATAACCAACATCAAGAAAATGGGAAGAATAAGCCAGGCGAATCACATGTCAAATCCAATCCATAAGAGTAGTTGGGAAAAGGTCACAGGAATGAGGAGTCCAATGAATAAATAGACTAGAGTGGAAACCATGGAAGGAATCAGTGCATGCCATTTAACAGCAGAGAGCCTAAACCAGGCAGAGGAGACAATCAGAGATGGAATGGTCATAAATGTGTGAAATGGAAGAAAAGATGGATGTGACAGCAACTGACGTGTTAGGCAAAAAAGAATGATTAAGAAAAGGACCACAGGAATTGTGAAATAAGGTGCAGTGAAGATAAATAGCAAACACATTCAATAAACAACATCTGCATTCCAACAGGAGGAGGAAAAGGGACTTAAGAAGAGGTGAAATGCCTATAGTGGTGTTGTCTCAATCCAACCACCAGGCAAAGTAAGACTGTAAGGAAGAAGGAAGGATGATGAGAGGGTGATCATGTGGGCACGATTAAGAGGGTGAGGGCTTCCACATCCATAAAAAAGGAGAAAACCTCTTACACAATGGGAGAAGGATAGGAGGAGAGGTTGAAAATCAGAAGATCCACATCCCTCAAGTGAATGGAAGAATGTAGGGCCTGCCTGAGTAAGGAAATGACCACCCAAAAATGAACTAGGTAATGCACGAGGGTTAGGAAAGATGTCTCCACCTGCATCAACCAAACAACCGAATGAGTAGCTTCTTACAGTAGAAACTGACTATGAAGGGCAGAGTCAGCTTGCAAGGAAACAAGAAGTAGCCAGTCATACCACACAATAAAAAACTTAGAGAGCCAAGGTGAGCTCAAACAGAAGATCCCAATACCGAAACACACACTACTGATGGAGAAACCGAAGATAATGTCTGGATGCAGGAGGGATAGGAATGTTAGGTATGCATCTGACACGTCAACTTTCGCCATTCACAAACCAGAAGTCAAAACCCAACAAAGAACAGTGAAAGAGTCAACAGATCGATGATAGGAAGACAATCCCCTGTCTGTTCTGGGAAGACAAACAGAGGGAAATAAGACCCTCAATAAGAGGGTCCTCTTTAAGCAATGGCACTCATGCAAAGCAAGTCCCGAAACACCTCCTAAAAATGCTGGCAGGAAACAGGATCCTGAGGAGAAGGGAAGGAAACGGGATGATGGGACAAGAAGGAGGAGAATGGAAAAGGAAGCCCAGAACATAAGGTTTCATGGCAAAGGACCCCACATGTGGACAAAGCTGAGGAACCAGATTATCAAAATAACTGAACCCACAATGCAGACACAAAGACCGCCAATTGCCACATAGACTGCACCCCAAGGAATGGCAGCAAACCTCAGGAATACAAGAGGATGGAACCAGCAAGGGAGAGGAAGGAGGAGGGCAAGCTAAAGGAACAAGTAAAAGAATCATAGGAAAAGGAAGATAAGGATAAAGCATAACATACCTTATTAAGTCTACAAATGTGGAAGGAGACCTGGGTCCTTTCCCCCGAAATGCAACTCTGAAGCATAGACAGGTGGAGAAAACAGGCTGTCTGAATCCTCATCATAATGTGCAGACAAACCCTCACATTTTAAGAGAGGACAATCATCAGGTGGCTCAGAAGACTGCATAAAAATAGCCAACTCCCTACGAACTAAAGTTGTGACTTCCTGAGAGATAATTCTGGCCCAGATGCCTTTGAAGTGGCAGGCAAATCAGCTGTAGTAGATGCCACCTGGAATTGCAACTGCATGATGAGTGGAGTTGACCTGAATAAAAGATAATTTTTATATCCAATAAGAATTCTCAAAACCATACAAATATTAAAAAATATGGTTGAAAATAATATGCAGCTGGAAAAAACCCTGTACACTTGAGAACATATATGAAACAAAATCAGTCTGAAAACACAAGCAAAAACACATCTGGATTGTAAGACTGCCAATCAAGAAGTGATTTTGGGCTGCATGGAAGAGAGGGTGCTAGTGACAATAGGAGTTGGTCATACTCCTATTGGTGGAGGGTTGCTGCATAATTATTTGCATGATAGCGTGCAGATGTCTCACATGAGGG